ATTCAAATTTTTTTGTTAAGATTTAATTTCAAAAGAAAATATTTAAATAAATTCTCAGTCTTCACTTCTCTGTGTCATGTGATGCATCTCCTCTTTGATTTCCACATTTTAGAATTCCTTTTTATTGGTTTCAGAGTGACCAAGCAATTAGAAACAAAAATTATAAATATGGAGATCCCAGAATATAAAATGTGAAGCATATACTTTCTCGAATTGCTGAGATATAAATATATTGGTGATACTAAACAGTGAAGTTTCTCTTATCCTAGCATTGAATGAATTTATGTATAACATCTGATTATTTGATGGGCATGTTTATAATCAGTAAAAAGATTGATTTTCTGATTATGGTTATTTATCTTTGGCAAGCAGGTGTAGACAGTTTTGTCAAATGGGTTATTGTTTTTTCTTCAGCTTCGAGCAACTAATGCCATTTTCTAACCTATTTATATCATAATTAGATGCCAGCTAAATTATAGTAGTTTCAGACATTCTGTTCTTAGGCCTAATATATATATATATTATTTTTTTAAATGCATATTTGAAACCTACATGAAATGTTATTTGAAGAAGTAACTTAGTGAAAAAAAAAAAGCCCAAAGTGGGCTAGTTTGTACTTACATGTGGGCCAGGCACTTTGCTTATAGTTTTATGATACTGTCAATGCTGTGGTTTTATTGCTTATGACCAGAGAATTACTGCTAAGGTGGGTTGAAATACAGCAATAAAACCATAAAATTAAAATCAACACATGTGAAAAGGATAACATTTGAAACTGTGAAGATAAAAATACCATTAATACAGCAAAATTACCCATTCAGAGGACAAGGAAAAGTTATTGTTCATTTTATTTCATTATTTTCAACTTCTAATTTCATTGTACATTGAAGATTGTACTACAGTTAGGGCAGAGAAAATAAGATAAAATATGTTTCACCAAAAATTCACAAAAAACCTTTGATATTAACTTGGGAAGTTTTGCAGGTAAGGCAAATGAAATATGAAAATTGTATGATGAAAAAAGGATTTTTTATTCTTAGCATGAAAATCATCTTTTACTTTAGACTGACTGAATAATGGCTTTGTAAATTCACAAATAAATCTATTAAAAAATTCCATTTGTGTGTTAGCCGTCCCTAATTTAGCAGTGTAAGGCTAGAGGGAAGTCATCACCACCCACTGCCAACTCTTGGGCTACTTTTTTTTACCAACAAATAGTGGGATTGACTGTCAAATTATAATGCCCCCATGGCTGAAAGGGTGAGCATGTTTGGTGAGACGGGGATTCAAACACGAACCTGCAACCCACACATTGCAAGTCGAGCGCCCTAACTACCTAGCCATGCCAGGCCTCAGATTGAAATATGATGTCAAATATTTGTTCTGAGATATTTTTTTCAGTATGAGGTATTTTGTTTCATGCAAATTAATGAAACAAAAACTGTTTTTCCTATGTGGATATTGCAATTAAAAACAAATTAAATGTTCTGCCTAACCTCACATTAAGTAATTAGAAATTAAATTTCAATTCTTTTTTGTTCTCGTCTAATAATTCACCAATTTTAACCCTGCATCAGTGTCATCAATTCATTGGACCAACCCCCCATATCTGTGAAACTATACAAAGTAATTTTTGCTATAATTCTGAATTTACTACATGTATCTTCACAAAATATGGCAAGCAAACATAAAAAGTCTGTTGCAAACACGCGCAGATAGCCCTCGTGTAGCGTTGCGCGTAATTCAAAAACAAACAAACTTCAATCTATTAGTCCACTGTGTGGATTAACTACTATCATTCCATATTTCATAATGCAGTTTTTCTCATTACTTAGGTTTGAGAAAAAATAAATAATAGTAATTTCAATGTAAGGTAAACTTTTAACTGTTAAAAGGAACCCGGATTCTAGCATTGGTTTATATTACTGAAGATGTACATATAATTAACACATTCATGATAATGACATACTACATGTCTTAAGATGATGAAATATGGTAGTACTTATAAAAGAACTATGCTGGTCAAATAAACATTTACATATATGTGGGTGAATGCAAACTTTCATCATTATGACAACATACATAGAAGTGAGAAAATGTTTTTTTCAGAATAATTTTATCTAAGTTGTATGTTTGACCTATGAATGATTGAAAAAAGACATCAAACTAATATATAAAGCTCAAGTTAGCTATTTCATATGTGAAAAATACTGGGTATTTCTATTCCTATTAGATTTCACAGGTGAATATTTCATGTTTCAAAATTTTTCACATATACATCAATAGATAAACAGGTTATGTGCTAGTGTTCTAACTACTTATTATCATTGATGATTTCTTTAGTGCTTCTAACTCTCCCATAGAATATGTTATAAAGCTATTTAGTTCACTTGGGAATGGCTTCAGGCAGTTCAGAACAGTGCATCGCCACTGGGCCTGATGCTTGTAGAGCCACACAACTGAAAATGGGATTGTTTAACTTGAATATTATTTTCTTTGTTTCACCTTTGCTCACTTTAACTCTGTAATGTTGATTATAGTTACTATTGCTATTGTGTAAAAAAATTAAGTTTAATACTATACTAGCCAAACTAAAGACAATAGCAATGTTTGTCCATTTACACATAATGAATTGTCACATCTGATGTATTGTCTGTTTCCATGGGTTTTTATGTGAATTTATTTGAAGTTTGCTTTCTAATCCTTAAGTACTTATGGTAAAAAATTCTGTTTAAAATGTTACCTAGTCTGGAACTGTTTCACTAAGTGCCATTACCTGTGAAACAACACCAGTAGAACTTCAGCTGTCCTGACTCAGGATATAACACTCGGAAGTCATGTAATCAATGTTTGTTTCTGTTGATTTATTATAATTTCACCAGGCTTTCTGTGTTACTCCCTTTAAACATACACTGAATTAAATTTTGAAGCATTGCATGTTATTAATTTTTATTTTTATATTTGTTATTCAAAGTGTATCAGATTCATATAAAGGGCAGAGGATTGATAGGTTAATAATGACTACAAAATCAGGCATTGATTTTACTATTTTCAGCCATGTGTTCTTAAGGTTGCCTCCATATATTCTGAAGTCTACACAACTGACCTCATTATATAGACCACATAATATATTTTCACTTATAGAACAACCAGTGATGGAGGGTTATGCATGCATTGAGGGAGAGATGATGCTATTTTATTTTTGTATACAGTCATTATTCTCATCTGATAAAGAGCTTCTTCCAGGGATCTGTGAGTAGGCTGTCTCATGTTTCTGTGCACTCTTTATCACTGAATGTGTTTTTCTGACATTTCTCATGTGGTTACTATTCTTACCTATAAAGTGAACAGAGCACTAGAGAATACCACAGAGTAAATTAATAAGTTTACATTTTGTTTCTGTGAAATTTTTTTTGACAAGTGTACTTTTTCTGCACTATGTTAAATCTTGATAAGTTACATTTTGAGCTTTATACTAATGGAAATGGCATTTCTCACAGGTGGTCAACACCTTTGGTAGTTTGGATAAATGTTCAAACCCTTGCAATATCTGGGCATACCACCAGAATCACTTAGCTGATGGGACCTCGGCAGTAGGAAAGGCATGCAAAGCCCCCCTTTTCTGGATGGTGGTTGGTCCTGGCTTAAACATGGATGCAAATTAGTGAAATAACAACTAATTGTTTTTCCTAGGTGGGTATTACAACTAAAAACAAATTACATGTACTGTCTAACATCACATTAAGTAATTAGAACTTGTGAGAAAGGAGAGAGAGGTGTGAAGTCTAGGAAAAGTCCTCTCCTGAACAAAGCCCTATTGCCAATATTGGTAAAGGCCATGTCTATGATCTTGACCTGGCTAAAGTTGCTGAATAGGTTCTATCTCTAAATTTAGACCTCAGTATATTGAAACAATGGATGATTGAGAGTGTGTAGCAACTTACAGGATGGTGGTCCTCAGCCCAAATTGGGCGATCTCTACAAGATTCTCAGACTGTTGCTAATCAGGGTTGTCAACCCCAACCATGGTTGATGTCACTATGGCCACTTGAATGAGATTAACTGGTGGTCTGTGAATAATGTCTACCAGTAAGAGCTATCTTGTTGTCAGGAGAGACTGCTAGCAGTGAGTGGTGAATATGATGACCTATGAGACAGAGGTAACATATATATGGTTGGAGGAGAACTGCTGTAACCCCTGGTGTCATGTAGAGCTTGAAGAAAATTGCATACGGTGACTCACCACTGTACCATCCAGGAGCTGGGGCCCCAACTGTCAGTGACATCAATGACCATCCTTTCAATTCCAGAGCATCTGTCTACAGTGCCACCCACAGTCAGGGTACAACTATTTCTCTTTGAGTGACACATCACTGAAGCCTAGCCTAGCAGCTGACTCCACCAGCAGAAACAAGGCAATCAAGATATAGTCACTGCAGAATAAGAAGACATGTAAAGTTCTCAGAAGTTGCAAAGTCATCTGAAAGTATCATAATCATACGTGAATGTTCCTTAGCAGGGCCACTACAAACCTCAACTTAAGAAAATATTCCCAAAATTAAAATCCAAGAGGAAGATATAAAAACTCTGTGAGTGGCCCCTCTCTTTAGCATCAGTCTTGTCACCTTTTTAACTAGTGCCCATAATAACTATGGCCATCTCCACAGCAATGGATGTCAATAGCTGCACTAACTCCACTCAAGTAGTCCCAGCAATAATCATCTTTCCATTTGGAGTTCTTGACAGTAGCTCCAACCAGCATCTCAGTGCATTATACTCTTACACAGATGACTGACAGCCTTAAATCACTACTGCCATAAAGAAAGAGATTTGGGCCTTATGCTTGAGTGAAGGGGAGAATCAACAAGACTAGGATGAATCCAATCAGTCTAGAGTGACAAGAGAGATTGTCAGGTCTAGGCAGAATTAGCCAAAGCCAAAATCCATCCATCCAATCTTTGGATATTCTGTCCACAAGATTGAGAAAAACTGAGGCAAATAAATATATGTTTTACTGCTTCATATAATAATAACATATCCTTCACAGGTATAAAAGTTTGTTTGTCGAAAAGAAGAAATATTTTTATGCATGTAAAGAAAGTTTTAATGGCTTCTTTTTATTGTTTAGGATTGTTGAATTGCAATAAAAATAAATAAATTCATTGATCTGTTATTGAATGGAAGGTCTCCTTAGCAGTGACTTATGGGAGACAAATCTGAAATAATATTTTCACAAAATAGACAAAAAATGTGAAGGAAAAAAGTTGCAATCTAAGCAATTTTTTATAAATATTAGGCTTATAAGTTGTTTTGCTTGGAATTTTCTTATAACTTTTATAAAGTAAAAATAAAAGCTATCTTGGTTTAAATGTTTTTCAACTTTTTAGCAAGTGAAACTCAAAGCAAAATACTTGGAGTTTCATTTGGGGGAATGCATGTATCTTTGTTAAAGGGTTGTGCTTGTCTACAAGTCTTGCCATGTATGGTTTTATTTTTATGTATTTGGATTTCAAAATATAAAGTAAGGAAATTTTCGGTTGGCACAAAGATAATGGAGGAGAGAGCATGTGCTTTGTGAAGTATAATAGATGTTCCTTTTAATTTAAGAAGAGGAACACTTCACATTCACTTAAACTTTACAAATTTTTTCACAAGTGCAGGTTTTTCATTAGAGAAACTGGTTATGGAATGTAGTTAACTTGCTAGTGCTTCTAATTCTGCAAGCGATGTTATTGTTATAGAACATAGTTGTTTAGTATACAATGTGGTCTGGAGAGCAAGATCAAATGTGTAGATTTAGGAAAACCTGTACAATGTCCTCTCTATTTATGGAATAACCAGCAAAATGGGTAGCAAATGTATTCTGGGAGAGATGATGCTTCTGTATCTTTGTATACAGTCACTTATTCTCATCCGAGAGTACCGTTGCCTTATGTGTATATACACTTGATATCTGAATAACTAAGATTGCTTTTCATTTTTTATAATGCTATGGTTGGTCTCTTTGCACCCCATTGGGACAGCAGTAAGTTTGCAGCTCTAAAATCTGGAGTTTCATTTCCTGCAAATAGCACAATGTGTCTTTACTCTAAAACAAACTAATCAATCTCTATTAAACTCAGAGTCAGAAATTCTGCATAATGTTTTGCCACTTTTCATTATTTATGGACAACATTCCTACATGTAAGATAATCAATGCACCTGAAAATACCACAGCCATTTCTTTCCCATGAATAATTTCAATAATGTTACTTTACTATCCATGTAACACAATAGCCTTTTCAATTACTTTAGGACCTAATTAATCCTTTTTATTACAATTCTTCTTATGAATGTCATTTTTCTTAAATAGAAGAGTAATTTATATATACTTCAAGCATTTTCAGCATGATATTATCTGTCCACAACATATGTGGTAAAATAAGATTGTTTTTAATATTGTTACCATTTAGCTCTACATTCCATTCAGTTTATCATACATAATGTAATTTGAATTCACTTTTACGCCGTTAAGTGAAAGAAATAAGAAACCTGTGATTAAGAAAAACTTATAATGTAAGTTTACTGCTTTTGTAACAGTGTGCTAGTTTGAGATACTATTAAACATTAAATAAAAGACACAAGAATTAAAAGGCTTTTCTTTCACTACATAATAAGAATACTTTTATTTTAACATTCTTAAGCATCATTGTTGAACTCGAAAGTCTCACATGGATTCTACCTTCTGGAAAAAATCAATATTTGGCTAGTGCCAAGATTAAATATTTTTTTTTAGATTTCAATACACTTTAGCACTTAATTAATCTAAATACATTACTTTTCTTTCCTGTGTATGAAATACCACATCTGTCCTGCACATTACACTTTCATACAGTTGACTCTTGCTATTATTTATTCTTGTAGTTCTCTTAACGACTATCAAACCATTAACCATATCAACTCCATTCTCATTGTTTTTAAGTGTTTCTAATCCACATTTTTTAAGTAAAATAAACTGGAATGTAAAATGTGGTATCACTTTCTTGGATGACCTTATTAGTTACCTAATAAAATGGCAAGTAAAAAATTTGTTGCTTTTTAGACTTTACACCTGAGAATAAATTTTTTTGAGATAGCCTGTGTAATTTACTATCCTAATATTTTCAAATTAAACGAGGATTGCCCTTTACTGCGTTAAATATTCACAAGGTAACCAGTATGATTCTACATTGAGCAAAAAGCTAGAAATAAAAAATATTTCATCAGAAGGCAGTGTATTTTATTAAGCAAATTACATATTTTGAATTCTTGACAAATCAATTGAGATAACAAAGAATGGGCCCACTAACTGTAACCACGTAGGGCTAGGACTAATAGTAGTCTGGACCTTATATCCAATTGGATTAAGACATTTTTGGATCATATAATAGATGTAGCCATTCATACTGCAAATGTGTAGCAGGCAGCTCATGTGAGTTACCACTTCTTTACAGTACAGTAATAAATTAGTTCTTTGGTCATAGTTTTAAAAATGTACAGTTCCACATGAGTGAGCAGCCATTGCAAGCCCTTTAAGGAAAACATGAAGCACACGGTGGCATGAGACAGTGCTTGCCACTGCTGTCACTACCACCTCTGACACACAGTGGCAACAACATGGGTGGGTGTTAAGTTTATTTCAGCTACACAATGTCTCTTATGACAAGCAGGTCTCCCACTCTTGTGTCAACAAAAATGCTATTATGTTTAGAAGCTAGTAGATTGCCAGTTGGCTAGATTATACAATACTTACATTTGATGCATGTGCTAGTAGTGTCATGCTTGTATAATATCACAAGATAATCCTTTGATGGAAATGCTATTTGATTATCTAATTCATTGAAAAATTTATGTATCCAATCAGATCAGATTTGATATTTGTCCCACCCCTATTAAGCAGTAAACAACAAGTCTTGTTCTTATAACTACTGAAACCAGGAAGGATGAATAATTTGAGATATTTTTCTACTGAATATGAAGAGGAAATAAGGACAATGAAGAATAAATTATATGAAGATATAAGTAAATAGTGTGGAATAAATGACTCAAGGATAATTATAGTCTATGAATATGGACAAAAACCATGTCACTTGGAAAGTATGTTTTCAGGTATAGATTTGAATTATATTATTCAATCCTCCTGTATAGTAGTTGTTAAACAACAATAACAACTGAATCAAGATTCCCAGTAAATAATTTATTGATCTTAGGAACCACTTGGGGAATCTCTCTCATTCTTAAGATCATATGTGCGTACAGAAATTTTAAGGTGGATTTTACATAAGGTACTACTGATGTATTATTTTTTCAAGCTTTGCCTTTCATATGAATAATCATAAAGATTATATTAAGGAACCACTGGGCTTGGGGAGTTATATGGGTCCTGGATTTTAGATATAATAAAAGAGAAACATTAATACTCCAAATAATTCAATAACAGTTACATTTAATACAAGGAAACTCACAGTAACATACATTAGAAATTAATCATCAACTTTTTGTGCAAAATATTTATATCTGGAGGTGTTTGGTCCATTCGTAGTTTTTATAGTTAGAATCTTTCAGACACCATACTTGACAAAAAAAAATTTTAAAGAAAAGACGGTTCCTATGAACTGGAAATAAAAATTTACAGCATATCTTACACAGAGAAATTGTACATAACTATGAAACAGTACACCCACAGAAAGAAATTAAATATCGTGTGTTTTTTAACATACAACCCTGGATATACAGTATTCAGCACTGATGACTATACTAGTCCTTATATAGAATGCATAACTTTGTGCCAAATTTATCTGCTAAGAGTTGCCAACATCATAACACTTCCAGTTTAGAATGTATCACATATTCATTGACGCAACTGCACTGTTAAATTTATTCTAACAGTCAACGTCTAGAATGTCTGAAAAAAGCTGTAAGATACATTTTGCTTGTAAATGAACCAAAAACTGCAGGTTCTCTGAATTATCTTTAAATCTTCTGTACAAATCGCTAACATAAACAATATTTACTATTCTACTAAGAAAAATGACACAAAATTAAATCCAATACCTTACTAATCTACAATACATTCACCATCAAATATAAACTGAACTTTATCTATAAAAAAATTTCCTGCATTTGTGTTACATGATCCAGCCATAATAACAATAGGTATACAGGGTTTATAGAATATTTGTTTATTATAAAGAACATAATAAGGGGGAATGATTTAAGTTTATTATTTTTTACACAAATTCAAGTTTTTATAATTAAAAGAATTATGACAGTTTACCAACTTGATATTAGGAATATGATCTTGCACAAAACACAAAATTGTGTTGAACAGTTCTACTAAAATTGGCCATTGGATTTTATACACAACACAAGGTTGTGCTTAACAGTTCTCTTATTGAGAAATGTCAAGTTTCTCCAGTGGAGCAAAAAGGACAATACATAGATGATTGTCCATGACTGTGCAAAACTTCATTCAACCTTTATCAAAAAATGTTTAATGGTATGTACAGTGGTTACCAATACCAATTCAGGCTTTGGATTCTTTAGTTCCATTGTAAGTAACGGTTCTCTGCTTGTAGTAAATTTCTTCAGTTTCTTTGTCACACAACAGCAAGATAATGGCACCAAAAAGAAAAATTGCTGCCCCCCATCCCACTCCATATGCCCATCCAAACTCCCAAATTTGTCGATTGCTTTCTTCAATTTCTGCAGCAAAACAGGCTGGATAGATAACCAAGGCAATCAGGATGCAGAACACTGAAAAAACAGCCACACAGTTATTGAAGATAAACACACTAGTACAGCTATTCATTGAAATATATGAAATTGGTGATGAATGGATGGGTGAGTTAAATCCAAGAAGTAATGTATGCAATTAAATTTTAACTTTCATAAAGTGTGTATATTAAATCAGAACCTACATTTACATACTATATGTTTTTAAGTATATTTTTTCATTCAAATGCATACAAAAACACAAAGATTACATCTTATAACGCATATCTGACATTGTAAACACCATTAAGAACAATGTTTCTCATATAACTTGTAATACTTCAAAGTGTGTTGCAACTACAAATGTATAACTGTCATGGACAAAAACTGATACACGTAACAGCTCACAGTAGTCACAAAGAACCACTGTCATATATATAATTAGATACGAGCTAAGACTCAGTTTGAATAGCTAATACTAAATACCATACACAACATACATGGTGCACACATCAGATAGACCAAGTGAGCCTATACCTCAAGCTTTGTTAGATTAGCACATTTTCTTCATTTTATACATCATTAACTCTATGTGCACAGGGTTCATCAACTAGACTGAGTTCATATTGGTGAATTAATGTTTATTATAATTTTGAATTTACTTTTACAAAATTTGGTAAGCTTTTAGTAAACATTGCAATCGTTGTATAAAAAAATTAGGATTTTTTAATAAAGTATTTTTACTAAAGATCTGTTTCTGAATTTATTTTTGCCAGACTGATTGAGACTAGTCTGAGTGCAAGGTGATTTTCATGTTAAGAATAAAAATACTTTTTTTCATCTTACAGTTTTCAAGTTTTATCTGAATATTCTCTAGAACCTCCTAAAAGAATATCAAATATTTTTGTTTGTTTTTTTCAGTTAAACTTTCTATTTTATCTGTCATTTTATTGCTCTTTCAATTGTGTCTCATTACCATGAATAGCAATAAGTCACCCAGCAGGAATGCAGAGTTAAGTGTAAACAAAATGTAAGGTTAATCATGCATTGTCTAACTACATATGTTCCTCGAGGTGAAAAAAAAAAGTTATTTCTTTATTTTAAGTTTTTTTTATCTACAAGTTTATAATTTTTACATCTAAGTTACTTTTGTTAAAAAAACATGTATCAATAAAGAAATAAAAAAGCCAATCTTCATTAACCTTAAGTTTTTCTACATTGAATGCCCCCACAAAAAAATTCAAATAGTTAAACAGAATGCTCCAAAACTCTTATAATTTATCTGGCTTTCTAACTAACCTATAAACAGGTTTAAATTTCATTACTTACTGGAAAATCAATTTTGGATTTCATTCAATAAAATCTGCTTGAAATATAGCACCTGTTACTAAAATAAATAATTACATACTTCACAAAATGGCCTTCCTATTGTTTATAAACAAGAATGAGTAAATAAGTAATTTCAAAAGCATGAAGAATTGGGAGGAGTTTCTGTGGTGGGTTTAATAAATTTATTGATATCTCAGAAAATAAAGAGGGTAGGAGGTTCTTATTTTAAATTCTGGCTTGTAAGTGTTTGTAGTTGGTGTATCTATTTGGTGGACATTCTGAAATCTATATAAGGGAAGAAAGATAATCTAAAACTGAAAATTTATTACAATATTTTCTTTTTAAAGTAAGAAATCTAAATTTGTATAATATTATAATTTGAATTATAAAGTATATTCTGATGCCAAGTTTATTGACATACACTGTAAAAGTCATGACATTGGCATTTTGAACCTTCATTCATGCACGTAGGGTTAACGTGTCTCTAGATGCATGTACATGAAATATGCAGGACAGAGACAATGGGAACAAATAATGCAGGTTAGCACTTGTTATTAGTTATTGAAAATGTAGTTTCAAAATGTTCAGCACAGTCTAATTAAATGTGCTAGATGCACACAAGTGTATAGGTACAAGGGTTAAAGAGAGAAAAATATTTTTTTTAAAAACAAAAGACAGAGAAACTGAACTTGTTAAGAATAATGAAAAATTCACTTACATGCACAAACCATTACATAAAGAGCTAATCGGTAGAACTTGTATTTGCGAATAGGTTCTTTGTTACACAGTCCTAGACCAGTTAACACAGTGGCACCAATGTCACAGAGGAGAGTGATCACACAAAGTGCAGCAGACCCTTGGATATAGGCTAGGAGTGAAAAGTGAAGACAGATGTTTCAGAAACTATAAAAATATCAGTTTACTGGGCTAATAATCTTATATTCCCTTAGTAAAGTACAATACACACAAAAAAAACAAAAAAACAATTCTTGTTTTCACAACCTTTATGTTAAATGCTCACATTTAGAATATTTACTGGAAAAACATATGTATATCTTCTGTTTATATATCTTGTAACCAGAACTGCTTTTACTGAACTGTAATATAGGATTTAGTATTAAAACTACTGTCTTCAACTGAGTGACCTGGAAGTACTTTCCACCTATCTCTTTCTTTGTAATCATTTCTTTATATCTGTGACTCTTTATGTGTTTTAATTATATTGTTAGCATAATAGGAAAGTATTCATCACAGAGATAAAATGAACTTAACTGAATCTGTACCTTCAGTACAAGGTGACTTGTTTTTACGTAAGCTTGAATACATAACAATTATCAAAAGTATATGTAAAAATTTAATACTTTTTAAACTACAAAAGCAATTATGTAAAAATTCTTGAAATTAAATTTCTACAAAGAAGTATGCATTGACACAAAACTTAAACATACACTATAAACTTAAGATACTAATCTAAAAACAGTTGCATCAAATACAGCTTATTTAAAAAATTAAGAAAGAAAACTTACTTCTTAGCTTTCAACCTTTTTCTTATCAGTTTTCCATATTCGCTACTAAATACAAAGTTACGGCTATAATTTTAGTAGTGATAAATTGTAAATATGAGCAGAACAAGGCAAAAAATATTTTAGACTGGGAATGGAGCTGTCACTAGGCACCGAGAAGCTAAATAATTAGGCTCTGAGATGAAATGCAACCAAATTTTCACTGTTTTATTTTAATATACTGTAAAACTATAGCAATTTCTAAAATAAACGTTACAGAGAAATTGAGTACATTAATTACTATTATATTTATTCAATTGATCAACAATAAGAATGCCATAAATGTTGCTTCAATGCTAGAAGTGTGGTATGCAAGCATATCATATGTTTCCTGTCCCCTTAGTTAGTATACAAAATTTTCAAGATTTTTGTGCATTTTGAGCAGGTCACTGAAAGAACACACTAAGCTCCTCTCACCCTAGTTACTCAGTTTAATTAGAATATTGTATATACTTTCTTGTGGGAAAGATTGCTGTAGCATAATGCATTACTGTATAGAAAGTAACAATGATCTTTTCCACTGGAAAGTCAGGTGACGTCACAGTGATACAACACCCCTTGTTTTGTAGCGAGAGTTACCATCAGTCATGTGGATGGCACCTGTGTCCTAAGAATGACATTATTGTCCTTTCTATATAATGCCATGTTTTCTCAGTCTGGAAAAAGACTGAAGATTATAGGATGTAAGAATTTAACATAAGGCAAATGAGAGAAGGCTACCCTGAGATATTAACAAACAGATATATCTCCAGTAAAGGTGCCAAAATACTTTTACCCTTAAAAGCTTTGATTGTTGTTTGTGATTGCTTAAATAAAGATTCTTTCACTGTGTGATATATTGTGCCCAGTCTCTTTCTTTGCTTCAAAAAATGTTGAGGTTAAGAAAATTCAGATTTTGCTGAAAAAAAAATGCTGGTGAACCTTCAGTTATTCTGTAGGTCTTACCCAATTACTTGCAGGAAATCAGTGAACTTGAGATACCACAGGAGGCACTACCCACAGTTTGACAGTGAGCAAGTTGTTGTTTGGATTAGTTTCATATTTGTATAATTTTATGTAAGTTGTGTTTATAGTATGGAACTATAAGCAATCCAATTTTTTACATTTCTTTCTTTAAGTATTGAAGTTTTTTCAACCATATCAGGCAACAATTAATTTTCAAATTTAACATTTTTTTTCCAATTATCAAAAACAAACAAACAAAGTTGGTTGGACAAAGACTCATGGTTCAAAGACCAAAAAGCACTTTATTATCACTACTAAAATTATTTTTGTTTAATAAGTTGTACTTATACATATTTATCTTTGAGTTTGAATCCTTTTTTCAATATCAATGTAACAGTTAACAGATGAAATAGGGGCAAATTCAGGAAACTGGTTAAGTTTGACAGCAATTTCACAATTGAAATACCTGCTAATTTCACTCCTCCATAACTATTTTAGAATATAACAATAGTAAATTTGCATGTAGGTTTTCTGCATGTAATTAATGACATCATTGTTAACCAAATGTCCAAGGGTAGTACACATACATCTACTAATCCTTTTACAATGGTTATCTTACATAGCTTGTACTAGTTTAACCTTTGTCTATTTGTATACTTCCTAGCATGTGGCAAGTCCATCTCAAGGGATGACACAGATATTTGTACAAGATGGTATAGGTTGTGGTTCTCTTTGTTGAATATGATATTTGAAACAGTTGTTGATGTAAACAATGTAAGGACTATAAGATACCGTATAAAGACTACTTTGTCCAATATAAATGTGTGGTATCACATAATTTTTTCTTCTGTCCTTGTCATGTGCAGACATGATTGGAACCCTCTCTTAACCCCAGCAGCCAGTTTGAGTTTAAACAACTAGAAGACAGCCACTTAGTAACCAACAGTCATCATGAATAAAGATTTTGTTTGTACACTTGTCTTTACTTCTTTTTTACCAATGTTGTTTCAATTCATTATAATTTTTCTGCTTACATACCATTCTTGTATTATGCAGATACTTAAACATTTTCTGTTGGCAATTAATGATCATGAATGTCACAATGATATAAAAACCTTATATCCAATAGGTACTACCAGGATTTTGGAGGATTAACATCCATTCATGGTGCATCTTTTTACATAATGTGTACATATACATACATACATATATATATATACTGGTTGGTTAGTTGGAAAAACACCTGGAAGATATTTAATTATAATAAATTATGATATGTGTGTACCATGATATACATTAAACATATATTACAACTTAGATAGGTAATCCCTATAATTATGTAAATGAGGAAAAGGATCTTGTTATATTGGTACAACTCTTAAGCTTTTGAGGTAGTGTTCTATTGCAAGTGATAAAGCAAACAGAAGTTTAGGTTGTATGTACAGGAATACCGACTTCAAGTCTAAAGACACAGTGGCTTTATTGTATAAGTCACTAGTTAGGCCTTATTTGGAGTATTGTACTCAATTTCAGTCCCTTTATCTTACAAAGGACACACAATTATTCAAGAGGCTTCAAAAGAAAGCTCCTAGGATGATTCTGGGAATAGATGGGTTGTCATATGAGGACAGATCTCTAACTTATTCTCTCTTGAAAAGAGAAGGGTCAAGGGTGATCTAAGTGAACGAAGTATTCAAAATTATTAAAGAAATTGATAAGATTGATGCATTATTTCGTTTCTCACATTTCCAGTTGGAGAATTTGTATTTTCCAATAGGGTGGTAAATCTATAGAATAAATTCCCAATGTAGAGTGGTAGAGGCTAAAACTCTACAAAAGTTTAAAAAAACAATTGATAAATATTTGGAGTATCAAGACTCAATTAAATGAATAAGTTTACTGTTTGTTGAGGAAGTATGGACGTTCATAATAGCCCAAAGGTCCCTTGATTTCTCATAAATTTATAATTAAAATGAAACAGCAAAAACATTTAAGGCTGTATTAGAAATCCTATTAGTTACTCATTATGTGCCATCGCCATTACAGAGGTTGACCACGGATACCATCTTTCTTGAGCTCTTTTTGTGCACTTCAAGATCTTAAGGTCTGTCCACTGTTTGATATTATACTCCATTTCATTCTTTGACATCCTTTTGCTCTCATTCCTTTCACTTTCTTTTTGCATAAATTTCTGTATTTGATTGTGCCTTTTTCTATGTCTAAAATATAATATTTTCCTTTGCTTTACAGTGTCCACATGTTCTTATTTTATATCTAATTTTCTTAAAATCTCTTCATTTGTTTCCTGTCTATCCATAGCATTCTTCCAATTCACCAGAATAACCACATATCAAACGTTTCTAGCTTTTTCTATAAACTTTCATTGATTGTTCAAGACTTTGCACCAACAGTGTTGATCATATGTAACATTTGATGATTTTCATTTTTAGTTGGAGATTTATTTTTTTTATCTCATGTTAATATTATTAAAGGCAGTTTTTGCAATAGCTATTTGTTTTTCTTATCTTTTCTACACATGTGCCATCCTCTGTAATTAATTGTTTAGAGTAGATAAAGTTTTTTACTTATTCTAGTTGCTCTCCATTTATTATTATTTTAGCTTTGGGCTTTTGTTTCTTTATGCTGATAACCACTGTTTTTGTTTTCTTAACATTCATATGAAATCCATATTATTCACATTTTTCTTAAATTTTTACCTACAATTTGTTGCATTCTGTCTGGATTTTCATCAAATAAAACTGTGTCATCTGTATATCTTAGATTATTTACACCTATAGAAACCACTTATACAGCCTTACATCCCATACACAAGTCTATACAAAGCAAGCCTGAGAAACATAAGGATCAATAACATAACTATAAATGAATGAATGGGTGGACCATCTGGTGCAGTGATAAATTGTACAAGATATCAGTTTAATCCTTTAAGTGAATAATTAAATTTCAGGTGGCTTCTTGAAAAATGTAAATTATTCACTAAAAAATGAAATTTAGAATTTGACCTTTTTTAGTACTTTTCAATGCCAAAATCCATTAGTTGCACTTTTACTCAGTGATGTACACACACACACTGTACTAAGGCAGGAAATTCAAGGATGTGCGAGTATCCTGATTGTTGCATTATGAGGAAAAGTTTTTGTGACACCGTGGGGTAAATCTGCTTGTCCCACCAAACGGCTATAAATGTCAAGTTAGATAATTCTGATCATAGCATCCAAAGGGTTAATATAAATATCTATAAAATTAATCAACAGTGGTATTTCCTATTTAATAATTACCCAACAATATATGAAAGAGCTCATAATTAAACTTTGCATTAATGTATTTTAAATATGATGGCAACTGCATCATCAGTTAATGATTTTTGAAGAAATAAAATAATGAAAAGCTATAATCTATTTAGTAAATTAATAATTATATCAACAATACTCAGGGTTTATCAGTTCAGTTTCTATACAAAAAAACATTCCACACAGAAGGCAGAATATAGACAAAATAAAATATCAAAATCAGTGTGGAACCATTTAAAATAAAAGCACTACATGTTAAAAATCAAAATGCAGATCATAAACAACAAAAATATAGAGTTCACAATAAAATTCACAGATAATTCTAACCACAACCTACCAACTGAACGGGCTTTATAACAGCCAGGCTTGGCATTCAAGTCAAATGGAAGTGGCAGTGGTGCATTCTCATCAATACAGTGTTCCCAAAGTCCCTGGCGAAACTTATCAGCTGTTAACCAGTTAGAAGATGCCACACATAATATCATCAACAGGATCACAATCAAACCACAGATAAAAGCTATAACCTAAACCAGAAAAAAAATTACTTCATGAGAAAACAAAAATACAACAGAAACTTATAAGAATTAATATATAAATAAATATATATATATGCAATAAATGAATTAAAAACACAAATGGCATTTATGTGCCTTTTGTAATACTAGTTGCATATATTCCTATTTCTGTTGATTTCAGACTATTTGATAAGCTTACATTTCTACAAATGTTCACTTACATAAAGCACATCATAATTTTTTAAACAAATTGGCCCAGTATTTTATCTGTCTGATTAAAAAATCTTACATGTGCAGAATCAGCCAAGTTATATAAAAGTACAAGGCTTGTACAGATGTTACATAAAAGTAGGTAAGTTAAACAAGAAAATGTCGGGGATTACTTGATCTTCCCCTTCTTTAGTGCAACCGGAATAAGCAACAATATGAATATAAAAAGGGGACAAGTTTTAAGTAACTTCTACTTGAAAATATGGATTGCATTTAAAATGATATTAAGAGAAAACAATGGTGCTATTCAGCTAGTCTTATTTCATTTAAAATCTGCTTAATCTATATGTCACAAAACAAGACAGAAATCCATTTTAAAACTGTTGAACTGAAATTATTAACTACATAACCAATAACTTGCTTTTTTGATAAAAATATCCAAAGAAATTAGGAGAGTAGCAATTTTCCCATAAGTGATTAGACTATCAAAATACTTCCATATGAAATACCAGATTCACACCATAAGTGGTTGCAGTTTACACTTCTGGTTAATACACTAATCATTTACAATCTTCACAAAAGGTTTTGGGATTTTAACTACATTTCCCAATGTTATGATATTAATATAATCATATTTTACCCTCTTAGCTGAACAAACAATGGATACTGTGTTATAGAGCACCCAGAGAGATGCACATTGGTCAAGAGGTTAATTTCAATAGCTAGTTGTTTGCCAAGTGTTAGGTGTGGGAAAAATTCACACTTCACCATATCATTCTCATCTGTTTATTTAACTGAATGGGCACTAGAAACTGAAAATCATATGCTTCCTCAGTTTGTAACCCTTACTGACCTGACTGGGTGACCACCTATCATATGTCATAATGCTGTACTATGCAACCTTAGAAACAATACATTGGTTATTCTCAAAATACAATGATAATAAAATATGGATTAAAGTTATAAGCATTATCTTAAAATATCTTTGGTTTTCTGCAAATGTACATACATATAATGGAGTTTGTTTTAGCACAAAGCTAAACGATGGGTTACCTGCCCTCTGTCCAATATAGGAAATCAAATTCTGGATCTTAGAATTGCAAATCCATACACTTACCACAAGAGATGGATGAATTAACAGATTACCTGCTAGCAGCAAATTACCTCAATTAGCATCATGCAAGTTAATTGATTAATCAAAATTAGTGTTTCTGATTATATTGATTGTCACAAATATAATCAAATTACTGAAATTACTGTTTTAATTTATTCCAACTATCCAATTAATTTAAATATTTCTATTATATATTATCTAAACACAAAGCTACATAATGGGTTATTTGTGCTCTACCCAATTTTAGCCTTATAAATTTATTTTTACTTGAAGTATGTCCAGCTTTGATGACTTAGAGCAGTGCTTATGATTTGCAGGGTGGTCTTGGTTTAATTCCCATTGCCACCAAATTTGCTTACTCCATCTTTGTTATGGCAAAGCTATTAAGATTATCTACTACTGTCATTAATTTTAAACTGGAAAGAGGTTACTTGTCTGGTAGCACTTGTAACCAACATTATATATATATTTGTATTTGAACTGATGACTAGAGGCAGGTTACTTATCTGGTAGCACTTGTTACCAATATTTTATTTATTTTTTAACTGGCGACTAGAGGAAATGGAACTGGCTGGCAGTACCTACCACCAATATTTGTTTATTTAGTTATCTTTTCTTTGTTTGTACGTACTTATAACTGACCCAGCTCTACTTAAACATGTTCTTAAGCATAAGAATGTACTTTATATACAATGTCCATGTACCTGACCTTTTGCTTCTATTATATTAAAAAGTTGATTTTCAAGTCAGTAAATACACGTATAGGAAATCATTTCTTTAAGTACTAGAAATTATAGAAAAATACTGAGTATGTCCATAAAGTCCCAAAAATCTACTTCTTTAACATGTACAATGCCCAGTAATTTTTTTAGTTATTGTATTGCTGTTGGCATTCATCTACTGGATGATATACGCAAACAGTTTGTTTGTTTGTTGTTAAACAGAAAGCTAGACAATGAGCTATATGTGCTGTGCTCACCATGCATTACAAAACCTGATTTTTAGCATTATAAGCCCAGCATGGGGGGACATGGGTAATAGCACAAGGTGACGATGTTTTTGGCTTTTCGAAATAGATATGTGAAACTTGAAAAAATGAAATATTTAAATAATTTAAAAAAACTGTGAACTTTATGATGATGAAAGAATATACGTTCAACAAGAAACTGAGCTAAAATACTGATTACTTTTTTAAGCTTACACTATCAGATTTATGGCTAAGACACCATTCATACAAATCTTACTAAGTGTGGTATTAGAGAGATTTTTCTACCTTTTTTAATGGGTTGAGGTTCTTTTAAATTAGGAAATTTGATGCATTAAACTGTCAAATTGAGAATCTTTAATAAGTGGCATAAATTTTGTTAAATAAACAAACACATACTGATGGCAGTTTTTCAATATTTTACTTTTTTTTATTTAATTTTACTTTTGTTACATAATACTTAGAATTGTGAAACGTGGTGTCAGAAAATGAAAGGTCCTTTTTACTGTTAAGTAATCATGATGTTATTATCCTCATTTACCTAGTCCCCTCAACAGACTTATATAATAAAGCGAGAATGTTGTTATTCTCAGCATTTAAAATAAATATCATAGTTTTATGGCAACCTTTATTCCATTTCAATAATCAATTTAACTGAAAAAGCATCTCTGCAGGATTGGGAATTTTACATGATAGACACAGGGCTAATATTTGGCCAAGGAATACCCCCATTTTATGTGTACTCTCTGTTTCACATATTTTATTCAAGTGAGCTTCCTGATTTTAAGACTTAAATACAGTTAAAGAGAAATCTTTTATAATTTACAACTTCCAGAATGTCCTTCACTCACACACTACCCCATATTATTGTCTGTGTAGGTCAACTATCTTAGCCATTTTACATGCAACATTCATATGTCCTATATATTTAAGGATCCAAGTAATTCTTTTAAACATTATATGTTAATTGTTTAGTTTCATTTTCAATAATGTTTTAATTATAAATGATTTCATTAAAATATTTTAATTGGCATTTTATGCATAAACTTGCTAACAAAAAAAAGGTGAAATTTTAAAAATTATTTACATTTTGCAGATATACTTGATGTAGTCATTTGCTGAATGCTGACTGTTATTTGAAATAATAACAGTGATATCTCAACAAATACAAAATCTATAGGGTCTATTGTTTGTTAAGCTTACCTTTAGAGGTCGTACCACTGTTACTGTTTCAACTGATGTAGTTGTTGACAGCATCTCTGTTCTTCACTAAAATACCAAACATTATCAAAAAAAATTGTAAGCAGCCATAATAAATTACAAAAGAAGAAGCAAGAGTATAATATATCTGAGGATTGAAAGAATAAAGACCTCTGATTTCTTTGTGTTATATTCTAGAGATAACAGGATGATAGTACATATATTGAAGATTTGGAAAAGACAAACTAGGTTATAGTTATGAAAGCTATATATTTCTAAAAAGGTGATTGACTGATGGATTGAACTGCCAATAGTAATAGTGTTCAGCACATTACAGGAGTGTTAAAAGGGAACTGATGATTTCCTGAAAGGGTGACTTTAAATTTTATTTTTCTTCAGTGTGGATATTCAAGGAATACCTTAAAGAACCAAATAGTTCTTTGTCATCTGTATGTTTTGTTAAAAAGTCTATCATTATAAAATAACTCGTATCCTGGAATTTCCAAATGATTTCTAATATCAACGTTCTCCACATCTAACAACTATTAGTAATTACTATTGTATTATAGTCTTCTATTTTGTCTAGAACCCTGAAATTATCCATTTTGTAAGTAATACTTCTAAGATTAGAGTAACAACAACTAAGGTTATTCCTGCATCTACAATATCTATCTTTAAATCTGACACTTCTCTTCAAAACTATTATATATCTTTTATGCTCTAAATTTCCTACATTAAACCTCTTCATTGCCCTAATATCCTATCAGTTTGTTTATTCCCAATTTCCTTCACCTCTATGCAAGATTAGCTTAAGCTATCTTTAATAAATGTTTTTAGCTTTCCCAAACAACCTATTGCCTAGCCAGCTTATGTGAAGCCCATCTCTGGTACACATTTCATCCTTACCCTGAAAACTATTCCAAAAACCTAACTAGCTCACCTGTTGCTCTTAGTAATTCAGTCCTGCATTTTGCATGAGGGAAAATCCCATAATCAGCCACAAGTCTATTTCTGTCCTTAAACCCCCTGAATAAGTTATTTAATTACACTTATTAAGCAGCTCTTCTGAATTACAACTTATAACACTAATCGCACATACAAACACTACATAGAGAATGCTCCTTGGTATCAGAAACTAAATGGTCAACACAGTCTTTAGTGTCCTGTACTTTAGCAAATGGCAAGCAAGCTCTAAACATTTTATGATCTTCACTATAAATAATTTAGGAGTATACTTAACAAGTCATGCTACATAGGAAAAAAAAAAGACAAAATTTATTTTCTCATAAAATCAAGTATTGAATGCTCATTCTAGTTCCATTGTTCTTGTGTTTTAGTCTTCATGTCCACTGTCAACATACTTTAGATGGTCAATCATCAATTTAACTGTAACTTGTAAGTTACCAGACAGTAGACACAAGTTTTGTGTTACTGTTAGTTTTGACATACCAAAAGGTCATGGCAGTATCTTTAAAAGTCAACAAAAAGAACTGTGAACAGTAGATTATATGTTGTACTACTAAAACTGATTTTTAAATTTTAAACCTAACATTGCCTCACTATTACTAACGTTGTAAATACAATGCATAAATACACTGTGACTTTCTATGCTAGGTAGTTTACTTCGTTCCATTTAAGCATAAATATCACAACGTCTTATTCCAATTTTTGTGTAACTGTTACTAATATTATATAACTTATAAATGTTAATAAACATTACTGGTACTACTACTACTACTAGTAGTAGTAGCACTCACTAAGCCTAGGGCTAGGCCCTAATTAACAGTGTTAATAACACTGCAAGTTTGAGCTAAATAATATTTATAGTTCATTTTTAGTTTGAAGTATTGTAGTTGTAGTCACTGTAGTAGCTAGTACAAGTAGTATTAATGGTAAATGAGCTCGAAATAAACTGGTGAAATTCAGACACTACATCTCTTTTTATAACTATTTTTTCATTTACCTGATAACAATAAACAGCCCAAAGCTTAAGCCTTAACGGCGATGTACTAGCCGAGGTTTTCGATTCCCTTGACGTCCAAACGCTCCTAGCAAAGCCCCCTCCCCTCTTCCGTGTTATTTGTCTGGTATAAATAGTTTTACTAATAAAAAAAATGCATTAAAATAATATTTTATCATATGTTGTTCGTATTATACACTAAATTGAGCATATTGTCAATACTTTTAACAGCTTTTAAAATAAATCTGAACTATTAAGTTCACTCCAGAATTAAAATAACACCTTCTTTTATTCAGACTAAAAATCAAATTTGAAATAACTAATTTTTATTAATAAATCAATTATACAACGCTGATAAGGTTCACAAGTAGTATTTCGCCGCCAGGGAATACTCCAGGATCCAATTCTAGAAAAATTCCTTTGCCCTAAGTGCATTCCGCCAGAAGTTTAAATGCACTTTTGATATCTTTATGATGACTTGTTAAGAAACAACCTGCTGCACGAATAACAAACAAACAAATAAATAAAAAATGAAGCAAAATAGTTGTAAATAGCTTATATACATATAGCAGTCGTTTCTCAGAAGCTTTGCAATTCTTTTTTCTACTTGAAGTACGCAGTTTTGCTTTTTTAAGGTATAAGATGTTGAGGTGTTTCCCGTTATATGATTTTCCGCAGAGCTGTCATTTATGCCAACTAACTGTTGGTTGTGGACTTGTAGGTTTAGAAAACACCGAATTATGTAGTGTTAATATAAAACGATGAAAATCCTGTAACCCGAGCACTTTCGAAAGGCGGACCTTTCTTCTTCAGGAGGCTTCCCGATTTGTTCCTGAAGAAGGAAGGTGCGCCTTTCGAAAGCGCTCGGATTACAGAACTATGTAGTATAATGCCCTCTCCTATCTACAACTGGGATTGTTGATTAGGCCCACTAATTGGAGGTTCGGAAATTACCGGACTATGGAGTATAATGCGCTCTTTGATGTATTTCCGGAATCATCAACAAGAAGAAACTGATGTTAATATTTTGAAAAGTACACTAACGTTTACTCACAAGACCATAATAAAAACTACGATACAAGAACAAAGCTACACAAGGGCAAAGTGTTAAGCACAGTAGCAGTACATTTCAGGTTGATAAGAGCGAGATGAAAACTTTATTTAAAAAGCTCTTATCCAACTTTAAGTTAAACTAAAACCCTAAACCTGTAATTCTCAAACTTTTCCCACTGGTGACATCCTAATCCACTTACCTTGATTTGCGCGACACCCCTGCTGCCACAAGCAACATTTTTGTAAGTTTTTTTACTTTCTTAGTTAATCTTTGTTTGACGAAACTCTCGCGATACACAGTTTAGAAATCACTGCCCTAAACTTAAAAGTGAAAACCCTAAGTTAGTGTTACGTGAAACCCAAAAGTGAAACTTAAAAACTATAAAAGCAAATAACTATATAAGCAAATGCTACACTCAAAAATAAACTAAAACATTATTCATTTACTAAAAGTTAAAGTCAAGTTAACTTTACTCTTAAACTAAAGAAAAAATAATGATAAAATTATTACTACAAAGTTTAAGAACAAAAATAAAATAAACGTTGCATTTACAGGTTTTACCAGGTCAAAACAAAGAGCCTAAAGTTTAAACAAAGTAATTTAATACATTAAATATATCTCTATACCACTCTATTGAATCCTTCTCTAATTCTAAGTCCTTTCTTACAGAGTGAACCTAACTTTTTATAGCAAAACTAAAATACTGAAACAAAACTGAGTTTGCATACGAAATACACTTCACATTTAAGGTTTGTATTCACAGAGATACCATTTTTAAAAGCGGGGAAATTTAAGTTGTTACTTGATCAAATCTTTGCATTCAAATTAAAAACTCTGAAAAATACAATAATTTTGAAAAAAATTACATATTGATTTAAGGGGTAGCAGGCCTATAGCACCATTCTGTACTACAGTATCTTAGCACAGTATTAATAACATTTGATACTTATAATGCTTATAATGACATTTCCTATGTATAAAAGACTATGGATTAGAATATTGTTGCGTCATCGAGGTCACGTGACTGGTGTGGCGCCACCTATTTTCTAGAACTATCCTGTACCTTGGCGAATGCTCTAGTGTTTACTTAGGGTAGTCTGGTATATAAAAGAGGGTGACAACGTGACGGGATAATAATGTGTGTGTAGATAGTGAGTAATTGAACTGCAGTCACAGGGTATTGTTGAAGTTAACGTTCGTTCGTTATAGTGTTTGTTTTAGCGCGAATATTGAAATTAAGTGTATCGTAAAGGTATATTCGGAAAGAATAAACCAGTTTTATTAAGTAAATACTTGTGTCGTTAAAGTTTCGTCGGAACGAAGTTACGGAAAAATCAATTAACAAACGGAGACGTAACAATATTAAAAATAACTTTCTATTTTTTGATGGCATGTGCTTTCTTCCCTACAAGAAAGTTGGTTAATTGACAATTAGCAAAACCACATTTTGCATGCTTTCAAAAATAGAGAAAGTAAGTTGTTGAAGTAACCCTTAACTTAAAATGGAAAAGTGAAATATCAACATCTGTTAACACACTACACCAAGCTATCTGCTGATTAGACCCTCTAACTGGAGATTTGAAGAATACCAGGCTATGGTGTATAATGCTCTCTCTAATCTACATAGCAGAAAAGTCAGTTGATTACCAATTAGCGAACCTATATCTTGTATTTGTTCGAAAAGTTGTTAAGTGTGTGAATGTAAGCATTTAAACTAAGAACTCTGAAAAGTATACAAATTTCACTTGTCTTGTATGCTAATACAAGAGAGAAGAAGTCATTCCATGAAAGCTACTCCAAACGTCATCACTGGGAGCCATGGTTCAACATGGATCAGCAAGTACCATATGTAGCATCTGCATTAAAAATGAAAGCTAATGAAGAAGAGGCTAGACTATTGTCTAAAAAATGTCACACAAACCAATGTCCCTATATTTGACTATAAAATTATATGTTCCATGTGTTGAAAAGATAAATTAAGAGTAATAGATACAGGTATGATAAACTAATACATATTCAAATGTACCAGCTTCAAGACACAATATACAAAAAAGAAGAAGCTGTTTGGAAATAAGGAACTATTTCCAAAAATATAGAGCACTGTAAAACAGTGTAATGGAAGGAAGATTTCGTATCTTTAAATTGCCTTAATTTTCCTTAGAGTAGTTTGTAGGAACTGCAAAAACAGGTGTATTCAAGAGATACTGTATTGCAGATCAGTGTCTTGTTTTCTTTGTCTTTGATTTAGTATTAATCAAAAGAGAAGTCAGGTGGGTGTCAAGTTTTTATGTATGGATGGGCCGAATTCTCTAAAGTAAGTGTCCATGACTTGTTGGAAATAAATTTCAACAATAAATAAACGATAATGCAGTCTACTTGTTTTAAAATAATATACTAAAACAAGTCAAATATATATACAAATGGTCGTTACACTGTTGGTTACCACTTTGATGTTCAGAGCTTTAGATAATCGTCTCTTTTTCGTCAAGTCGACACAGTCGGGTTCATTTACTTAAGAACACAATTTTAAGAGACGAATTATTCTTCTATACTTTGTTATTACAATACAATCTGTGATAATTTCAGTCTAAAATCACTAGTATAACCGTTTGTTACCACAGTTGTATCCAGAGCTTTAAATAATTGTCTCTTTTTCGTCAAAGTCCACACAGACTGGTTCAATTACTTTAAAACACAATTGACAAGACAAATTATTTTTTCTCTATTCTGTTAATTTCACTCTAAAAACTGCCACTATACACTCTTTATGGCTAATCTCACAATCATGCAGTCTAGATCTATCTAACTCTATATAACTACATTGTGGATGCGTACTTATAGCCCGACAGAAACCTTGAACATTCTACACACCACGTGATATTATGATGCAATAATACTTATTTAAAACATCGAGTAAAAATTAGAAGGTCCTAATAACATGATACAATAATACAACGATCACCAATTCATAACTATTTGACTATACAACATATGACTCATAAACAGTTACGTAAACAAACTTGCAATAAACTATTGCTTATAAAAATAACTAAATTTAACTCTCGCATTAAAATTAAATCGAAACAGTCGTGTATATCTAACAGCCTTCATGGATTACCCAGATATGACACTATCAAATAGTTTCAAAGTCTAGCTGGCCATTTGAACAACATTGCCTAATTAAGAAACCAATGGGCTTAAAGCTGAGACCTGTGACAACTATCAAGCATTGGTAGCTGCTCTATTCTACAATTTTGGAGCAACACAGCAGAAGGAAGTATCCAAACCAAAGTTCTGGAAAGAAGATACCTTAGCCAAACTTTCTGAAGATTTGTAAAGGCTTGCTTATTTATCTTACCTGGATGATCCATGTGAAATATGAATTCATTGGTACGTGACGATTATATAGTAAGCTTTCTAGTTATTGATGGAACATGAATCCAATAATGTGCCAGATATACAACTAAAGACATAATCTAGAAGCCACTGGACTATCAGATCAAGTAATATTGAAATATCAATAAAACCGCAAAACAATAAGTGTAACATGAAAGGCCATATTTTCTGAAACTACAGACAAAAGTCTGTATGAAATAGAAACTCCTCTCAAAAGATGTCAGAAAGAAAGAGAGAACTGTTATAATCGTGGGAAACATGGCCATTACAGCTATTAATAACAGAAGCAGACAATTCGCTAATAATGATTCTCAGAGCCCAACCAGATCAAAAAACAACAAATAGCTAGTCAGATATTGACTTCAAGATAAATTAGTTGGACTTATGGAGCAAAGGTCAGCTGAGAATACTTCATTTTCCCCAAGAGAGTTAAAGAAACCAGTCCACGAGTCAATGGGTTTATCAATGGGAATCCTTGAAGTATATTGATCGATACTGGTTCTACAGCTATAATGATTCGGCCTGGTTTGATAATGATAGATGAGAAATTGCTTCAGAAGATGAAGAAAGAAAATAGATTAATGTAAATAGCAATTGAACATAAAGTTCCAGCTAGAGGAAGGATGGAAGTTACTCTTATCATAGACTATTTCTCTATGTCCCCATTATGTGT